CAACAACTCTAAAATTTAAAAAATCGAAAAATTTAAACGTCGCAAAAGTAAAAAATGGAGAAATCGTAAAATTGATAAATCGAAGAAAAACTGAAAAATCCCAAAACTGACATTTCAAAAAAGTGAGAAATCGAAACATCGAAAAATTTAACAAAAATCAAAAATTTAAATTTGAAAAAATTCAAAAATTAAAAAATCGAAGAAGTGAAAAGTACAGAAATCGGAAAATTAAAAAATTGGAAAAAATTGAAAAAACAAAAAATTGAAAAATCGATAAAACGGAAAATCGAATGGAATTTGTTTTTACGATTTTTTAACTTCTATTTTTTTAATTTTTTAATCTGTATTTCAATTTTTCGATTTTTGGAATTTTCTGTTTCTCATATATAGGTTTATCGATTTTTTTGAGATTTTCGATTTTTCCGTTTATCTTTTTTTTAAGTAAATATTTCAATTTTGAATTTTCCGATTTCGGCCTATTTCGATTTCTCGATCTTTTGAAGTCTCAAGTTTTCGATTTCGATTTCTTGGTTTTTCGATTTTCAAAATTTTCGATTTTTCTAGTATATATTTTAAATTTTCGATTTTTTAAATTTTCCATTTTTCGCTTTTATAATCTTTATGTTTCGATTTCCCGATTTAAATTTTTTAATGTGTTTCAATTTTTCCATTTTTGGAATTTTAGATTTCTCATATCTCAATTTTCCAATTTTAAAAATTTTTCGATTTCTCGATTTTTAAGTTTTCGCTATCTCAATTTTAAACATCGCAATTTTGGAAATTTTTCAATTTCTATATTTTTCAGATTTTCGATATTTTCATTTTCCTGATTTTGTAATTTTCATTTTCTTGATTTTACATCACAATTTTTCATTTTTCCATTACCTTTATTTTTTCAATGTTTCTTTGGATTTAATAATTTTTTGTTTATTCAATTTTTTACATTTTCAATCTTTGATTTTTTTAAGTTCTTGATTTCCAATTTTTTTATTTTTCGAAGCTTTCATTTTGTACTTTTTCAGTTTTACAATTTTTCTATTTTATAATTTTTCGATTTTGTTTATTCGAAAAGTTAAAAACTCGAAAAAATGAAAAATTGAAACAATGAAAAACTAAATACCGAGAAACTTAAAAATCAAAAAAAAATTAATGAATCGAAGAATGGGAAAGAAGAAAAACCATTCGAATTGAAAAATTGGAAAATCCAAAAATTGTAAAATCGAAAAATTATAGAATCTTGAAAATTGTAAAGTCCAAAAACTGTGACATTCAAACACCGAAAAATTGAAAAATTCCAAAAACGAAAAGCTGAAAAAGTGAACAACTTTAAAAATTATAATTATTAGGAGTGTTACATAATTAAAATGAAAACTAGAAAAACTGCAAATGAAAAATTAAAAAAACGGAAAATTGAAAGCCGAAAATTGAAAAAATAAAGAAAATTAAAAACCCACACGAAAAATTGCAAATCGAAAAATTGACGAAATTAAAAACTGAAAACTCGTGAAATTTGCAAACTCTAAAATTTGGAAAATCAAAAACTGAAAAATCGAGAAATCCAAAAATTTTCAAAACTAAAAAGTCGAAAGATTGAGAAATCGGAATTTTGGAAAATCGAAAAACCGAGGAATTCAAACTGAAAAAAGATCGAGAATTCAAGATGTCGAAAAATCTAAATATCTAAAATTTTAAAAATAGAAAAATTACAAAAACAAAAAATTTAACATTAAAAAAAACACAAAATTAAAAAGTCGAAAAATCGAGAAATTGAGAAATGGAAAAATGAAAATTTAGAAAAACCAAAGATTGAAAAGCATAAAAAAAATTAAAATCGGGAAATCGGAACGTAAAAAAAATAAAATCGAACAATTGAAAAATTTTAAATTTAAAAATTCGAAAACTTGAAAAACCGAAAAACTGAAGAAATGAAAAACTAAAAAATCGACAAATTGAAAAACCCAAAAATCGATTTCCGGTAAGTCGAAAAATCAAAATTTAAAAAGTTGAAAAATGAAAATATCAAAAATCTGAAAAATATAGACATTCTCAAAATTGAAATGTTGAAAAATTGAGAAATCGAAAACTTGAAAAATCCAGAAATCGAAAAAAAAACGAAAAGTAAAAGCATTTTAAAATCGAAAAAACGAAAAATCGAGATGTAAGAAATCGAAAATTCCAAAATCGAAAAATTGGAATACACGTTAAAAAGGTTAAAATCGGAAGATCGGAGCATAACAAAACATAAAATCGAAAAATGGAGAATTTAAAAAATCTAAAACCTTGAAGAAATAAAAAATTGAAAAATGGAAAAGCCGAGAAATCGAAATTAAAAATTTGAGACATCAAAAGATCCGAGAAATGGAGAAATCGAAAAACCGGAAAATTTAAAACTGAAATACATATTTAAATTTAAAAAAAACGATAAATCAAAATATTTAAAATTCGAAAAATCAGAAATTTTAAAAATCGAAACATTGAGAAACCGAAATACCAAAAAAGTGATAAATTTTAAATTAAAAAATTGGAGATATTATAAAATCCCAAAATTGGAACAATTAAAACTGAGAAATCGAAAAACTGAAAAATCTATAAATTGGACAGAGGAAAAATCGAAAAATCAAAGAACTGATTAATAGAGAAATTGAGAAATGTAAAAATGATTTTTTTTTAAATTGCAAAAATTGTAAAACTGAAATATCGAAAAATTAAGTAAACTAAAAATCGAGAAATCAAGAAATCGAAAAATTGTAATTCAATTTTGTTTTATTTTTCCACAAAAATTTCGATGTCGAAGATAAAAATTCAACACGGATTCATAAATCATAGGTACACTTACTTTTTTTTAAATTTATATAACATTTATTTGACAAAATTGTAGAACTGAAGAAACGAAATATAGAAACATTGAAAAACTAGAAATCGAGAAAAAATTAATGAATCAAAGAACAAATTAAATCGAAAAATGTTCGTAAAGTCCAAAAACTAACATTCAAAGATCGAAAAATTAAAAAATTCCAAAAACGAAAAGGTGAAAAAGTGAACAACTCTAATAAAAATTATAATTATTATTACATATCTAAAATGAAAACTAGAAAACCTGCAAATCAAAAATTGAAGAAACGAAAAATTGAAAACAAAAAAAATTGAAAAATCCAAAAACTGAAAAATTTCAAATTGAGAAAAAGAAAAAATATAAAAACTCGTTCCTCGCGCGTTAAAATATCTCGATTATTAATCACCTTTATTAACAAACTTGTTCGTTAAATAGCTATTAATTTACCTGATCTCATTTTCAATTCCAATGAAAACCTCTTCTTTAAAAATTGCACATTTTAAAAAAACGCGGGGGTGCTATTTACGCCACTGAGGTAGTAAAACGCTGAATACTGAGAGTTCGTTTTAGCAACTTTTCACTACAAAAATAAAATTTTGAAATTTGGCAGTCGCTTTGGAATGCAAAAATGTCCACACTTGTCAGTGTAAATTCGCCCTCTAGAACGCTGATTGCGCCATTTCCCCCAGCGATCCTCCCTTCCATACGAATTCAGAAACCGGCTAAAGCGAATTTGTCATTTTAATAATTAATGTCACACATATGCATAATTGGATCGCTGTGCTTGCTCACTATGGTAATTTAATCCCATGCTTCGTCCCATTACACCTGAGAAAACAAACCGTGCAAGTGATACGAGGGGTGATTTAGTAAAGTCAGGATAATTAATGGAGCTAGAATTTTTTTCAACGATAAAAGTGAACTTTGACAAGAACTTTCTAGATTAAAAATGTTACGATTATTGACGGCTATAAAATTTCCATTGTCGAGCCGCGTTAAAAATAAACGCGCTTAAATAGACAGTTCTTTGTCTCATGTGGCAATAAAATCGACAAACACACTAAGCAGAGATTTCGAACGGATTATCATTTTTAGGCATCTGCTTCGTAATTCTTTTATTGTATGACGAGTCTTTGCGGGATAATGTTTCAAAAGGTTTATCAGCTTGCTTTGAAAACAGAGGTGGATGCTTGCGGCGGGATATTGTGACACGAAGATACCGAAATATTTTTCTATTTTGCTAAATTGACTGCGTCGCGCTTCATTGTAACATATCGCTTCAGAGATAACCGTAATAAATATAATATTTTCAGCGACCTTAGAGAAAAATAACGTCATTTAAGAACCTTTTTGACTTCTAGTCTCGTTTCATATAAAAATCTGCATTTTAAACTTCTTTTCAACTCGGAATCTAATTCTCGAAGACAAAGGTCACGTTGTAACCTGAACTCACTCCAGGCCTGTCATGTGCACTACAAGATGAAACATCTCCGAACATAATCTGGAACGAATGCCCAAAGTTACATCCGCTTTAGTTTTACTAGTTTTATATTCTTATCAGAATGGAAGTGATAAAATTTCAGGTAAATCGGTTAAAGATTGAATCTTCGAGGATAAAGGAACGCGAAAGGATAAAAATGCCGTCTCTTGAGATTTACGTCAAGCCCGAAGCTGGACTTTTTCAATAATACCTATAATTAAATCAGGAAAAACATCGAAACGATTTTTTAATGTGTTTGCGTAGAGTGTTGACCGGTAACGACATGAAGTAATTAAAATTATCAGAAAATTGTTAAAACGTGATTTCTGAAATTAGTCTGCTCATAATAACGGTCGCAGCCGTAAAGATTTAATTTAGACCAATGGATCCGATAAAGTTCACTCTGCTTTGAATTTTTTCTAACGTTATGTTTACCCAAGTTTATCTAAACTAATCCTGTGTCAACAACTAACGCAAATTGCCCAATTTACGTTTAATTTAATGAATAGGCTTCTAATCACGGCTAACAAAGCCAAATACGGCATCAACTCTTTTCAAAAAAACATACCACAATGTAATTGCTGCAATAAATGGGCTTAAAACTATTAAACATTACTTAATTGTCATCTGTATTGTCGTATTTATAGAGCATCGCACTGTTGACCCACTTTCAGAAAAAAATTGTTAGCAGAGTAGTCGGAGGTGAGTGTGTTTAAATTTAAAAGTGAGTGCTCGTTTGGTCACAATTAATAACTAAAGTGGTAATCTCGTCCTAGACAATACGCAAGATAAGTTAGGCCGCCCCTGTTGTAAATATTGGGATAATGGAGATGCGGCAATTAGGCAAGGACTAGGTGGGATCATAAATCAGAAACATTTTCGCTTTCATTCGTTTGAGCCCCTGTATTCGGGGATCTTTACTATAGCCGGTAATTTGCTTTACTCCATTGTGACCTAAACACAAGGATTATATTGCAGAAAGGGATCACTGTGAAACAGTCTTTAATTATATACCAAGGGCTGCAATTAAACAATTACACCACGTTTACAACTTTCTCGAGATCGAACTCTTCATTCGCATCCCACTTATTTCACAGAATTTTTATACTTTTTTATGACCGATATATTTTTGGACAATTTTTAGAAAAATAAATGTGAAAAGTTATTGTTACTTTATACTTCGTTTCAGTGACTATTCTTAATATTGTTCAGTCCTATCTTAGCAAGTTTTAGCCCCGCCCACCCACCCTTTTTTTTCTTACAAGATATATCATTTACCAAAATCACTCTTACCTTAGCAGATACTAGGCCTGCCCACACACACTGTTCTCGTTATAACGATTTTATCACTTTTCGATTGAGACCCACCTTGCATTCGGACTGGACAAGATGAATCATTGAAATGGCGGCGGGGTGAATTATGTGTTTGAAGGTGAAGTGAGAATCGGAACTAATAGAACGTAGACTGTTAAAAAAGCGTTAATCGTATTTTTTTGCTATACTACTTATATGCTATAACATTTAAAACTTATTTCTGGAGAAAAAAGTGAAAGAACGGTTGGGTGGGCGGGGCTAAGTTTAACTTTTTCCTACAGAAAAATTTTTTTCTTTAATAAGCAAGCAATAGCCCCGCCCACCCACCCTCTCTTCATTCCAGTAAGTTGCTAAAAAAAACGTTAATCGTAATTTTCTTGTTATACATCTTCAAAAAATAAAATATTCCAATTCCCCGAGATTTCTTCTATTTCGTCAAAAATTAAAACACTCGAGACCCCCAAGATTATTTCAACTTCCTCAAAAAATAAAACACTAGCAACCCACGAGATTCCTTCGACTTTTTCAAAAATTAATACATTAAGGACCTTCGAGATTCTTTTAGCATCTAAAAAAAATAAAACATTTGGGACCTCCGAGATTCTTTCAACTTCTTAAAAAATTAATACATTAGCGACCCCTGAAATTCTTTCAAAATCTTCAAAAAATAAATCATTAGGGACCCGCGAGATTTATTCGACATCTTCAAAAATTCAAACACTAGTAACCCCCGAGATTATGTCCATATTTTCAAAAAATAAAACACTGGGTACCCCAAAGATTTCTTTGACATCTTCAACAATTAAAACACTAGGGAGTCCGGAGATGTCTTCGACATCTTCGAAAATTAAAACAGTAGGGATCCCCGAGATTCATTCAACCTCTTCAAAAATTAAAAGATTAGGGACCTCCGAGATGCTTCCAACCACGGAGATTCTGTCAAATTCTTCAAAAAAAGGGACCCCCGAGATTCTTTCAACTTCTTCAAAAATAAAACACTAGGAACCCCCGAGTTTCATTCAAATTCTTAAAAATTAAACACTAGGGACTCCTGAGATTCTTTCAACATCTTCAAAAAATAAAAGACCAGGGACCGCCGAGATTCTTTCAAATTCTTCAAAAAAAGGGAGCCCCGAGATTCTTTCAAATTCTTCAAAAAAAGGGACCCCCGAGATTCTTCCAAATTCTCCAAAAATAAAACATTAGGAACCCCCGAGATTTTTTCAAATTCTTAAAAACTAAACACTTGCAACCCCTGAGATTCTTTCACCATCTTCAAAAAATAAAACAGTTGGGGCCCCGAGATTCTTTCACTATCTTCAAAAAATAAAATATTACAATTCCCCGAGATTTCTTCTATTTCTTCAAAAATTAAAACACTAGGGACCCCCAAGACTTTTTTCAACTTCCTCAAAAAAATAAAACACTAGCAACCTACGAGATTTCTTCGACTTTTTCAAAAATTAATACATTAAGAACCCTCGAGATTCTTTTACCATCTAAAAAAACATAAAACATTTGGGACCCGCGAGATTTCTTCGACATCTTCAAAAATTCAAACACTAGTAACCCCCGAGATTATCTCCATATTTTCAAAAAATAAAGCACTGGTTACCCCCAAGATTTCTTTGACATCTTCAACAATCAAAACAGTATGGATCCCCGAGATTCATTCAACCTCTTCAAAAATTTGAAGATTAGGGACCCTCGAGATGCTTCCAACTTCTTCAAAAATTAAAACACTAGGGACCACGGAGATTCTTTCAAATTCTTCAAAAAAAGGGACCCCCGAGATTCTTTCAACTTCTTCAAAAATTAATATATTAGGGACCCCTGAAATTCTTTAAACATCTTCAAAAAATAAATCATTAGGGACCCGCGAAATTTCTTCGACATCTTCAAAAATTCAACACTAGTAACCCCCGAGATTATCTCCATATTTTCAAAAAATAAAACACTGGGTACCCCCAAGATTTCTTTGACATCTTCAACAATTAAAACACTAGGGAGTCCCGAGATTTCTTCGACATCTTAAAAAATTAAAACACTAGGAACCCCCGAGATTCATTCAAATTCTTAAAAATTAAACACTAGGGACTCCTGACATTCTTTTAACATCTTCAAAAAATAAAACAGTTGGGGCCCCCGAGATTCTTTCACCATCTTCAAAAAATAAAATATTACAATTCCCCGAGATTTCTTCTATTTCTTCAAAAATTAAAACACTAGGGATTCCCAAGATTTCTTCAACTTCTTCAGAAATTAAAACACTCGCGACCTTCGAGATTCATTCAACCTCTTCAAAAATTAAAACGTTAGGGACCCTCGAGATTCTTTAAACTTCTTCAAAAATTAACACACTAGAGACCCCCAAGATTCTTTCAAATTCTTCAAAAATAAAACATTAAGGACCCCCGAGATTTTTTCAAATTCTTAAAAACTAAACACTTGCAACCCCTGAGATTCTTTCAACATCTTCAAAAAATAAAATATTTGAAATCGGCGAGATTTCCTTTATTTCTTCAAAAATTAAAACACTAGGAACCCCCGAGATTCTTTCAACTTCCTCAAAAAATAAAACACTAGAGACCCACGAGATTCCTAGACTTTTTCAAAAATTAGTACATTAAAGACCTCCGAGATTTTTTCAAATTATTAAAAATTAAACACCAAGGACCCCTGAGGTACTTTCAACATCTTAAAAAAATAAAACAGTAGGAGCCCCCGAGATTCTTTCAACATCTTCAAAAAATAAAATATTAGAAATCCTCGAGATTTCTTCTATTTCTTAAAAAATTAAAACACTAGCGACCCCCGAGATTCTTTCAACATCTTCAAAACATAAAACACTAATGACCCCCGAGATTTTTTCGACTATTTCAAAAATTAAAACACTAGCAACCCCCGAGGTTTTTTCAACATCTTCAAAAAATAAATCATTAGGGACCCGTGAGATTTTTTCGACATCTTCAAAAATTAAAACACTAATAACCCCCGAGATTTTCTCAATATTTTCACAAAATAAAACACTAGGTACCCCCAAGGTTTCTTCGACATTTTCAAAAATTAAAACACTAGGGACCCCGGAGATTCTTTCAACATCTTCAAAAAATAAAATACTAGGGAGACTTGAGATTTTTTTAACTACTTTACATATTAAAACACTAGAGACACCCAAGATTCTTTCAAGATCTTCAAAAAATAAATCACTAGGGACCCCCGAGATTCTTTCAATATCTTCTAAGAATAAAACACTAGGGACTCCCGAAATTCCTTCAACATCTCATAAACCACTTGGCGCTAAGTTTAATTTTATCCTACAGAATCTTTAATAAGCAAGCAATAGCCCCACCCACCCACCCCCTCTTCAATCCAGTAATTACTCTTAATATTGTTCGATCATTTATCTAAATCAATCTTAACTTGACAAGTACTAGCCCCGCCCACCCACCCTTTATTTTCTTAGAGAGTATGTCATTTACCATAATCAATCCTATCTTAGCAGATACTAGCCCCGCCCACACACGCTGTTCTCATTCTAACGATTTTATCTCTCTTGGATTGAGATCCACCTTTCATTCGGACTAAACAAAATGAATCACAGAAATGGAGGCGGGGTGGGTGGGCGTGGTGAATGGGAACTAATAGAACGTAGGCTGTTAATCGTATATTTTTTGTAATACTACTTATTTGCTATAATATTTAAGGAAAAAATTGAGAGAACCGGTGGGTGGGTGGGGCTAAATTTAACGTTTTCATACAGAATCTTTCATAACTAAAAAATAGCCCCGCCCACCCACCCGGTCTTTATTTCAGTGATTACTCTTAATATTGTTTAGTCATTTACCAAAATCAATCTTATTCACCCTTTATTTTCTTTGAGAGTATGTCGTCTGCCAAAATCAATCTTATCTTAGCAGATATTAGCCCCGTCCATATACGCTGTTCTCATTCTAACGATTTTACCTGTTTTCAATTCGGATCCACTTTTTTTTATATACCTACTACATTTGCTATAACATTTATTTCTTACTTTTGAAGAAAAAAAATGAGAGAACGGGTGGGTGGGCGGGGCTAAGTTTTTCTTTTTCATACAGAATCTTTTACAAGCAATCAAGTTTCTTTAATTTCTGGTGTTGCAAATTTTTTGAAATTTCAAAATTAAAATTTTGCTTTTCAATTTTTTGGATTTTGTGTTTTTCAGATTTTAATTTTTCATTTGCGCAATTTTTTAATTTGTAATTTTTTGAGTTTCGAGCTTAAATTTTTTAATTTTTAGATTTTGCACTTTTGAATTTTTAGATTCTCAATTTTTCGATAATTTATTTTTTTGTTTTTGCAGTTGTTAGATTTCCAATTTTTTGATTTTTTATTTTGGATGTTTCAACAATCGAGAAAATGCAAAATCGGAAAACTAAAGTATTTTTAAAAACTCAAAAATGGGTGCTTTTAGAAAATTCTTAGTCAATACACTATAAATGAATGGGGTGAAAACAATTAAAAATTAATTAGTTAAGAAAAATTTTAATGTAAAAATTGAAAAATCCAAAAACTGTAAAACCGTGAAAATTTCAGTTTCAATAAATTTGTTCTTTTTGAAATATTTAAATTAAAAATTGAAATCCCGATTAATTGAAATAAATAAGGAAAAATTAAAATATATTCAAATTGAAAAACTGAGGAAGTGCAAAACTGAAACATCGAAAAATCGCAAATCAAAATCTGGGAGACTGAAAAATTACAAAATCAAAAAATTCCAAAAATTGTAGAATTGAAAAATTAAATTGGAAATCCAAATATTAAAAATCGAGAAACTGAAAAACCCAAAAACTGAATAAACGATCTAGAAATCGACAAATCAAGCTAACTGTAAAATCTAAAAACAGTAAATTAAAAAATTGAAAGAATCAAATATTGATAAAACAAAATTTTGAAAAACTAAAAATTGAAAACTCTAAAAGCGTGCAAATCGAAACATTGTACATTAAAAAAATTGCAAAATAAAAATCTAAAATCTGAGAAATCGTAAAACCAAAAAACTGCATAGTTTTTAATAATTCAAAAATGGGTACTTAAAAAATCCTCAGTCAGCACAATGTAAATAGACGTGGCGAAAGCAGCAACGTTCGATTGACACCGATGTCATTCTTCAATTAAAAATCATTAAGTGAAAAAAATTTAAATATAAAAATTGAAAAACTAACAACGACAAAATCGTAAAATTGAAAAAGTTAAAAAAATCAGCGTGCTTAATGTTTCTAAAATTCCATTTTTAGTTAGTAATTTTAAAGTCGCGGTCGATTTATCTCAGTCCAGTACTGTCTTCCGATTCCTTCCACTTTTCACCTCCGCGCTAATCGCACGTGCACACAAATTTGCATGTCTCGCGTAAAAATTAATAAGCCATCATTTCCATTTTCCCGCCAAATTAGATTAGCACATCTAATGAGTCCACATTTCCTCGAGTTGCGTCAGAGCAGAATCCCGCTCTTGTCCGTACTGCCAAGTGTTGCGTTTTTCCCCATTCCGATTCCGAAAATGCCCCCACCTGGCAACAGCGTACGCTTACTATGCGAAATGTAGGTTCTTGGCAAGGGGTTTAAAAATAATCTATGAACTTGAACGCAGGTAGACCTCGTCGGAGTGGCACAACGGTACACCACTAGCACCCGAATCGATACAATTCCGGCACCAGTTGTGAACATTCTTCAAGTTTAGTAGCCAGCGCGACCGATACACAACACAATTTCATCTAATTGCTGGATCTGTAAACTGTTTCATGATTGTTAACTGACAACAGCTGGTCGATCAGTCTGGATTCGTGGGGCTACCGTCACCATGCGGGAGACAAGTGTGGCTGAAATGTTCAGGGGAACTCTCCCCCAGCTGATTGCTGTTGTTACTGGTGAGTACCGAGTGCCTGCTTAGAGTGATGGATGAGACAGTTTTTAAATAATTTTTATTTTGATTGATTCGGTCGACTAACTAACCACAGTTTGAGATTTTTTTTTAATATTTAATTTTTAAAATAATCGCGTGTGAAACAAATTCACGAAAATTTCGATCGGGATTAAACAGAAACTAAGTAATTTAACTCATTAAAAATTTTGCGATTTTTTTTTTTTTAAATATTCTTCATTCTTTGTTGCCGGACGCCAAGTGACATAATTGCTCTATAAATATCTGTATACATTGGCTATTTATTTAATCATTTTTCATTGATTGTTTGGACTTTAATTTGACCAAATTTGCACCTACAGGTGAAATATTATCCAAGGCCGTATTTTTGCATCACTTTTGCGTAAAGACGTTTCGTTACTAATGAAAAGTGGCGCCCTCATAAAAAAACTGTAATGTGAAAAATTGTTGGCTCATTTCCGCGTTAAATCACCTTTTCGGCGCATCGAGTCCAACTTCGCGGGCCGGTCCGGCCCTGTCTCTCGCTCATAGCCCGCATTATATTCATAGAACCCGAGCGATCTTGAAGTTCGAGGTTTCACATTTGCGTTTTACATTATTTTTAGCGGGCGGAAAATTCCGCATTGTAATTGCTGAATGTTACAGTTTCAGCAGCTGAAACGTCAGAACGAAATTTCAAGTCGCTAATCGGTGCAGTTGACGAAAGAAATTATGATAAACAAATTTAATGGCTCGTTAAAACAATGATTTTTCCTCACAATTAGTTCGTTTTGAAACAGGTTTATTAATTGAGTGGAACAATGAAGCGGAACGTCGTAATTAAAATGTTTATGAGAAATAATAAACGTCAAGTGTTTTTGTTAACTGGAAGCGAGATTTTTTTCCGAAAGTGGCAATACGAAGTTTTCATTTTTCAGTAAATAAAGTTTGGTTTGAGGGTGAAATCGTATGTCTGTTTTAACGTCATAACAATATCGATATTTTTAATTATACTACTTCACTTTCAAGGACTTCAGGATTACGGTTTTTTCTAAGAACACGTGCAAACAGATTTTTATTCTTAATCAATAGAGCAAATATTAATCATTAACTTTCGTGTCACGTGAGTACGACAAAACTCAATTCATAGCAAGTTCACTAGGGGCCAAAGGATTCTTCAAAAAAGAAAACACTAGAGACCCCCCAGATTCTATCAGTTTCTTCAGTTAATAAAACACTAGGTATCCCCGAGATTCTTTTAACACCTTCAGAAAATAAAACACTAAAAATACCCAAACTTGCTTCGACTTCTTCAAAAATTAAAACACTAGGGACCCCCGAGCTTCTTTTGACTTCTTCAAAAATTAAAACACTAGGGACCCCGAGATTCTTTCAACATCGTCAAAAAATAAACCCGCTGGGACTCCTGATATTTCCTTGACATCTTCAAACATTAAAACACTAGGGACCCCTGAGATTTTTTCAACTTCTTCAAAAATTAAAACACTAGGGACGCCCGAGATTATTTCAACATCTTCAAAAAACAAAACAATAGGGACCTCCGCGATTTCTTCGACTTTTTCAAAAATTAAAACACTATTGACCCCCGAGATTCTTTCAACATCTTCAAAAAATAAAACACTAGGGACCCCCGAGATTCTTTCAAGTTCTTCAAAAATTAAAACACTAGGGACCCCCGAGATTATTTTAACACCTTCAGAAAATAAAACACAAAAAATACCCGAAGTTGTTTCGACTTCTTCAAAAATTTAAACACTACGGACCCCGGAATTTCTTCCAATTCTGCAAAAATTAAAACACTAGGGACCCCCAAGCTTCTTTTGACTTCTTCAAAAATTAAAACACTAGGGACCCCGAGTTTCTTTCAACATCGTCAAAAAATAAATCCACAGGGACTCCCGATATTTCCTTCACATCTTCAAAAATTAAAACACTAAGGACCGCTGAGATTCTTTCAACTTCTTCAAAAATTAAAACACTAGGGACGCCCGAGATTATTTCAACATCTTTAAAAAATAAAACACTAAGGACTCACGAGATTTTTTCATCTTCCTTAAAAAAATATAACCCTGGGGAAATCCGAGATACTTTCAGCATAAAAAAAAAGTCTTGAATTCCGGAGGTTTCTTCGAATTCTTCAAAAATTTAAACACTGATGACTTCCGAGATCCTTTCAACTTCTCCAAGAAATAAAACACTAGGGACCGCCGCGATTGTTTCAACTTCTTCAAAAAATATAACATTAGGGACTCACGAGATTTTTTTCATCTTCTTTAAAAAAAATATAACTCTGGGGAAATCCGAGTCCTTTAACACCTTCAAAAAAGAAAACACTAAAAATACCCGAAGTTGCTTCGACTTCTTCAAAAATTAAAACACTACGGACTCCGGAGATTTCTTCCAATTTTGCAAAAATTAAAACACTAGGGACCCCCGAGCGAGCTTCTTTTGACTTCTTCAAAAATTAAAACACTAGGGACCCCGAGATTCTTTCAACATCGTCAAAGAATAAACTCACAGGGACTCCCAATTTTTTCTTGACATCTTAAAAAATTAAAACTCTAGGAACCCTTGAGATTCTTTCAACTTCTTCAAAAATTAAAACACAAGGAACGCTCGAGATTATTTCAACATATTCAAAAAATAAAACACTAGGGACTTCCGCGATTTCTTCGACTTTTTCAAAAATTAAAACACTATTGACCCCCGAGATTCTTTCAACATCTTCAAAAAATATAACACTAGGGACCCCCGAGATTCTTTCAACTTCTTCAAAAATTTAAACACTACGGACCCCGGCGATTTCTTCCAATTCTGCAAAAATTAAAACACTAGGGACCCCCGAGCTTCTTTTGACTTCTTCAAAAATTAAAACACTAGGGACCCCGAGTTTCTTTCAACATCGTCAAAAAATAAATCCACAGGGACTCCCGATATTTCCTTCACATCTTCAAAAATTAAAACACTAGTGACCCCTGAGATTCTTTCAACTTCTTCAAAAATTAAAACACTAGGGACGTCCGAGATTATTTCAACATCTTTAAAAAATAAAACACTAAGGACTCACGAGATTTTTTCATCTTCCTTAAAAAAATATAACCCTGGGGAAATCCGAGATACTTTCAGCATAAAAAAAAAGTCTTGAATTCCCGAGATTTCTTCGAATTCTTCAAAAATTTAAACACTGATGATTTCCGAGATCCTTTCAACTTCTCCAAGAAATAAAACACTAGGGACCGCCGCGATTTCTTCAACTTTTTCAAAAATTAAAATACTAGGGACGCCCGAGATTGTTTCAACTTCTTCAAAAAATATAACATTAGGGACTCACGAAATTTTTTTCATCTTCTTTAAAAAAAATATAACTCTGGGGAAATCCGAGTCCTTTAACACCTTCAAAAAAGAAAACACTAAAAATACCCGAAGTTGCTTCGACTTCTTCAAAAATTAAAACACTACGGACTCCGGAGATTTCTTCCAATTTTGCAAAAATTAAAACAATAGGGACCCCCGAGCGAGCTTCTTTTGACTTCTTCAAAAATTAAAATACTAGGGACCCCGAGATTCTTTCAACATCGTCAAAAAATAAACTCACAGGGACTCCCAATTTTTTCTTGACATCTTCAAAAATTAAAACTCTAGGAACCCTTGAGATTCTTTCAACTTCTTCAAAAATTAAAACACAAGGAACGCTCGAGATTATTTCAACATATTCAAAAAATAAAACACTAGGGACTTCCGCGATTTCTTCGACTTCTTCAAAAATTAAAACACTATTGACCCTCGAGATTGTTTCAACATCTTTAAAAATTAAAACACAAGGAACGCTCGAGATTATTTCAACATATTCAAAAAATAAAACACTAGGGACTTCCGCGATTTCTTCGACTTCTTCAAAAATTAAAACACTATTGACCTTCGAGATTGTTTCAACATCTTTAAAAAATAAAACACTAGGGACTCACGAGATTTTTTCAGCTTCCTTAAAAAATATATAACCCTGGGGAACTCCGAGATACTTTCAGCATAAAAAAAAAGTTAGTAATTCCCGAGATTTCTTCGACTTCTTCAAAATTTTAAACAATGGGCACTTCCGAGATCCCTTCAACTTCTCCAAGAAATAAAACACTAGGGACCGCCGAGATTTCTTCAATTTCTTCAAAAATCACTATTGTCTCCCGAGATTCTTTCTATATCTTCACAAAATAAAACACTAGGAACACCCCAGATTCTTTCAACTTCTTCAAAAAATAAAACACTAGGGACCTCCGAGATTTCTTCGACTTCATCAAAAATTAAAACACTATTGACCCCCGAGATTGTTTCAATTTCTTCAAACATTAAAACATTAGGAACCTCCGAGATTCTTTCAACTTCTTCAAAAATTAAAACACTAGGGACCCCCGAGATTCTCTCAATATCTTCAAAAATTAAACACTAGGGACCCCGAGATTCTTTCAACATCTTCAAAAAATAAAATATTAGAAACCCCCGAGGTTTCTATGACTTCTTCGAAAATTAAAACACTAGGGACCCCTGAGATTCTTTCAACTTCGGCAAAAAATAAAACACTAGGGACTTCCGAGATTTCTTCGATTTCATCAAAAATTAAAACATTAGGAACCCCCGAGATTCTTTCAACTTCTTCAAAATTTAAAACACTAGGGACCCCCGAGATTCTTTCAACTTCTTCAAAATTTAAAACACTAGGGACCCCCGAGATTCTTTCAATTTCTTCAAAAATTAATACACTAGGAACCCCCGAGATTCTTTCAATATCTTAAAAAGTGAAACACTAGGGACTCCGAGATTCTTTCAACATCTTCAAAAATTAAAACACTAGAAGCTCCCGAGATTTTTTCGACTTCTTCTAAAATTAAAACACTAGGGATCCCCGAGATTCTTTCAACAGCTTCAAAAGATAAAACACTAAAAACCCCCGAGATTTCTTCGACTTCTTCAAAAATTAAAACACTAGATCCAAGA